ACGACCAGATCCGTGATCAGGTTATCGACAAGTGTAAGTCGCCATATCTACGGAAGAAATTTCTGGAAAAGGGAGGAACATTGACCCTCACAAAAATACTGGAAATGGGTAGAGCGCATGAAGCAGCAGAGAGACAGGCAGCAGTAATACAGGAAGAAACTGTACACGCAGTTTATGAGAAAAGGAAAGGACACAAACCAGGTTACCAGGGGGCTGACCGTTTCAATACAAGTAGTCAAGGTAACAAATCTCAAGCATGCTTCCGGTGTGGGAGACAGGGACACTATTCAAAAGATAAGAAATGTCCAGCCAGGAATAAGAAATGCAATAAATGTCATAAAATGGGACATTTCCAGAAGTGTTGTAAGACAAAGGGAGGTAATCCAGGGAATGGCCGATCAGAGGAACGTACGTGACTACGTTTTTAGTGTTGTTAAAGAACCAGTTGGAGAACAGGTTAGTGTGATAGTTGGAGGTGTGCCAATATCATTTACTGTTGATTCAGGTGCAGGTGTTAATATGATAGACCGAGAACTCTGGGAAAGTCTGAAAAAGTCAAAGATAAACTGTGTAAGTAACAATACTGACAAGAAATTGTTTGCTTATGAAAGTACCAAGCCACTGCCTTTAGCAGGATGTTTTGAGGCTGATGTCATACTTGGAAACAAGATGGTACCTAGGGTGATGTTTTATGTTTTGGAGGGAACAGGCCAACCACTACTAGGCAAGATGACTGCTATAGAATTAGGAGTTCTACATGTGGGTACTGGGCACATTAATTCCGTTGAACATGATATCAGTAAGGCTGAACTTATGAAGAAATACCCTGAATGTTTCACAGGAATTGGGAAATTGAAAGACTATCAAATGACTATAGCACTGGACGACACAGTTACGCCAGTTATTCAACCATTGCGGCGTATACCCTACCATTTACGTGACCGACTTGAGAGCAAAATACACGAGCTGGAGTCATTAGACATTATTGAGAAAGTCGAGGAACCCAGTGCATGGGTAAGTCCAGTTGTTATTATTCCCAAGTCAAACGGGGATATTAGACTTTGTGTTGACATGCGACTAACATTGGGATCTTATTTGTTCTCTTCTTTCTAAACAACTTTCTTCTTCCTAATGTCTCCCTTGACAATGCCACACTTTTGGCCTTTAGTTGAGCGTTCGCCCATGTAAGGAAGGCTTTGGGTTCTGTCCCCTGGCCGAAACATACCCGAGTCTTTACAAATGGGAGTTTCTACTCCTGCTTAACGCTCAGCAATTTAGGAGTGGGACGACTGGTTCTCCCGTTGTCAGTATAATGTGACCGGGTTGGGTGTCCTGCTGGGTGTCTTCGGCAGTATGTTTCAGTTAGGTAACACTATCAAGTACCGCGCTATCACAAGTAGACAAACACGAACATATCGCTGCCTCCTAAAACACACACGCATACACTACATCCATTCCGCCTTTTCGTATTTCAGAGTTTTCTGCTCTTGTGAGCAGGTATTGCTTGTTGCGTCATTTGTTTTTGAGAGTAACGTCATACCTTCTTGAGAAAACGACGTAATTTTCTCACACAAACTAATGACGTAACAATCAATACCTGCCCACAATAGCAGATAACTCTGCAATACGAAAAGATGGAATAGCTGTTAATAGGACCTTAAACACAATTTAACCAAACCAAACCAATCTTTCATGTAGTGCTTTAATGATATATTTATCATCCAGAATGCGAGTTAATCGAACATATTGTGAAAATGTTAATGTAAAATATAGGATTTTTTTATTCTCATTATTCTTGTATATGAAAAATGTTCATAGTATGAAGAAGTGGTGTTATTTCAAATATGTATGCAAAAGTTCAGTCCAAAAAAATTGGTGGAAAGTATTCATTTCGCACAACAAAGTACCCTATGTACCCAAAAAGGTGAGGGCATAAGACACCTCCCTGGCATCCACCAAAACGCAATGTACCTCGTTACAGGTTATTGGTAATGAAATACAATAAACCTTTCAGTGCATGTTAGGTCACAACAAATTCCAAATTCAAATACGCTTCATCACTTGGCGTGATTGATAAGAGTTTTTGTTTCTAATCAATTTTAATA